TAAAGCCAAGTCCATGGGGAAGCCAGATTCACTTAATAACCATGTTACTAACTTCACAACTGCAGTGATTCAACGAACGACGGAGGCAAGAAAAGTGGTAAAATGGGGCAAAATTCTCTTAACAAATGTCTCCCTTATCAACAGAAATGTTGGGCTATATTGTGGTCATAAATCGAGGACTATCTGCACAGCACGGGTGTGAAAGTACCATCTTGAACGGTGGACGTCCTTGCTGCTCCCCGAGCTTCGTTGCTTTCCTGCAGACGTTTCACGACCCAGCTAGGTAACAGCTTCAGTCTTAGGAAAGTTCGAGCAATTGGCTAAATTTCTGGAAAGAACCGTTTTGACACTGCATTGGGGTAGGGTGGGCTCAGTGATGGCAAACCTTTTAGAGGCAGAGTGCCCAAACTGCAACCCAAAACCCACTTATGCATCGTCGGGTGCCGGGTGGGCGTGGCTGCAGTGGTAACAGCAGACTGGGTGGGACTAAAAAGTTCAATCAATCAATTCCAACTTTGCAAGATCTTTTTTTTTCCCCGCGAGAAGTTGAAATTGACTGATTGATTGAACCTTTTTTTTTTTTTTTTGCACACGGCGGCGGAGGCCTAAAGCGAAAAGGTTTTATAAAACCCAGCTGAAGGCCTAGGACTGGGGCGACGGCGCGCGTGCCCACAGAGAGGGCTCTGAGTGCCGCCTCTGGCACCCGTGCACCACTGGGTGGGCTAAAATAACCGGGTGTAAAAAAAACCAGAACAATATACTAAACAAGTATCTTCCCTTCTAACCATGTTTGTTAATTTACGATTCTTTAAAAAAAAATAATAATCAGGAATTTGGGGAGTTATTGGCCACTCCACGCTCCTGCAAGATTCTTCTAAAATCAGATTTATTTGGTTTCATTTGCCTCCCCAACTGGCCTGCTTATTCAGTTCCAGACTCTGGCTTGGCTGCAGAAATGCCTTTCTTAAACAGTCCGTTTTAAAAACTATCCTGCTGGGTTTTCCATCTGGACACGCTGGCTTCTGTGCCCGGGAAAGGCCACCCCTAATCAAATTAACGGTTAGGCTGGCAAAACATCCGTCAAAATCTTGAGCTGCTGCTGTCCTGGTGGATATCTATAAGGGAGGGAGGGAGGGAGGGAGAAAGCTTGGTCTCCCAAGGAACTTTGTTGAATTTTGGAGAGAAAAAAAAACTGGCAGCCTGCCTGTTTAGGTTAATGAGTTCTCCACCCTGAAGTGCTCCAGAGTTTATTTCCCACCATCTGGAAAACACCCGGCCCTTCCACTGGGATTTGCCAAGGTTCAGCCAAGAGAAGGGGTTATGAAAAACTTGAGGAGTGGGAGGGGAAAAAAAAGGTTCTTCCATCTGCTTAGCTGCGGCAGAGGAGAAATCCTGGCCGTTGGGCGCCTCTGTCTTGCTCACCGTTCAGATCGCTTTGCAGATGCCGTGCTGAAGATGGAGCAGACTTTGTTTGGGTGCAGATCAGGGGTGGAAGAGGAGGAGGAGGAGGAGGAGGAGGAGGA